AGACGCGTTTTTCGGGCCGAGGAATATGCCATACATCCGTAAAAGAATCTCGAACATTTTTAACAGGGTCTCCCTGTCCGCTCCCCACCTGAAGTGACCAACAAATTTCAGGAGTGTGAGGATTTTTCTGCTCCTGACCTCGACGGCGTCCATGTGTGCCTGCCATCTCAACTTCTAAGAATATTTTATTGAACGTCAAATCATTCTCTACGAAACAGAAAAAATAATTAACACTGGTATTTTGATGATATAATATATTTTTCAACCGGGAGCAATCAAGTAATAAAAAGAATGCACTTTTCTCTTGATTTTTCGCATTTTCCCTATGCCTTGATCCAAAAGAGAGAAAAAAGCGATGTAAACGAACAACGAAACATCAGTTAACGAAATACAATAATACATAGGACAAAGGTTGCCAATTTGGTTCAGATTTATTTTTTTTAACGGTTGAAACTTTTGTGGGGTTTCTTTTTCATTGGTGGTTTTTTCTTTGGCATTTTCCAATTATGATTTTATCGAGGTTTCACCTCGTTCAGCCACGGGTCCCGTCGTAATAACGTGGAAGTGAGCTATGAATTGCATTAATCCCTTTCTCGCGTGGGTTACGCTTGCATAGCCCATTTGATTGATGACACCAATTATTTTCAAACGCAAACGTTTATTTCGAAAAATAACTAGCCGAAACTCAAAAATTGTAAAACAGTACAAATTATTATCATATTCATACAAGTTTGTATTATAATAGCCTGCACAACGTTTAATGACATCAATGTTAATATTCCATTAGGTTATAATCTAAAAGTATTTAGGCCAAAGAACCTCCGGAATAACTCATTGTTATCTTTAATTACAACCGTACACTTAAAACCCGAGAGGTAAGATGGAGGCATGATACGATCAGTTTTGAAGGACGATTTCAGCAACCAATTACCAATAAATATTTAATCATTTCGTTTATTGATAAAGCCGTTATAAAATATTCAAAAATCTTTTATAATAGTTCCATTTTGGGTGGGAAGTGGTACATTTATTGTTTTAATTGGCAAGTCACCAAATATGTATCAAAAATCAAGATGAAGAGAGATTAAATTTGAAAAGATACCAACTGTTTTGAAGGAAATAGTTAAATTTCAATGCATTTATTTTCTCAATTATTATAAATGTTAAACTGAAAAATTATATACTTTAAATATAAAATAAATAGTGAAATATAACTTTCCATCGTTACTGAAAATTGTGCTTGATTTTTTTTTAATGTCAAACCACCAATTTCACGACGAGCAGGAGATTAAATGAGAAAAGATATGAATTGTTTTGAGGGAAATAGTTACTATTTCAACACATTTATTTTTCTATTATCTATAAATGTTAAATAGATAAATTGCATACTTTAAACATAAAATAAATAGTGAAATATAGCTTTTTATCGTTGCTGAAGATTGGTCAATTTTTTTTATTGTCAAACCACGAGATTTCACGACAAACAAGATATTAAATGAGGAAAGCTATGAACAGTTTCGATAGAAAATATTTCAACAAATTTGACAGTTCAATTGTTTATTAGTTAAATTAATATTGTTATATATATTTCGTTAATTATCGCCAAATACTCCGCTGCGAGAGAGATTAAATATGAAAAGATATGAACCGTTTTGGACGAAATACTTAAAATTTCGACATATTGATTGTTTGTTTTTCAATTATCTATATTTTAAACATAAAATAAATAGTGAAATATTGCTTTGAATCAATGCTGAAGATTTTTATTTTTATTTATTTATTTTTCTTTTAAGTAGTATAATAGTAGTAACACCATGGGTTTCGCGACGAGAAAAAGAAATTAAATGAATCAAGACATGAACTGCTTTGAAATAAATAATGAAATTTCCAACAAATTCGTCACAACAAAATTTTCTGAGTAACCAAAATATTTTGCAATGTGCGAGAGAGAAAAAAGCAAGATACGATCAGTTTTGAAGGTATCAATTAATATTTCAGCTCATTTTAATTATCGTTAAATATTAAATTAATACTTTAATCGAAAAATTCGTTATGTAATGTTTACTAATCGTACACATTTTTAACAGTACCATTTTATATGTTTCCATTAGTAAAGATTTTATTTTATTGTCAAACCACTAAGGTTTCATAATCAAGAGAGTTTATCAAGATACGACCTATTTTGAACATTCAATATTTCAACAAATATATATTTCCAAATATAATAAATGTTAAATTCATACTTTCATAGATAAATCCCTTACGTAAAATTCACAGCATTATTAATTAGTGAAATATTGTTCTGAAACAATGCTGAAGATTTTTATTTTTATTTATTTATTTTTCTTTTAAGTAGTATGATAGTAGTAACAGCATGGGTTTCGCGACGAAAAAAAGAAATTAAACGGGACAAGGCATGAACTGTTTTGAAATAAATAATGAAATTTCCAACAAATTCGTCATTTCAATTATCTAGAAATGTTAAATTACTACTTTTCTTTTTTTTTAATTATCAAATCTCCAAAGATTTCGCGAAAAGCTACAAAGATTGGAGGGGGCTAGATATGAACAGTTTGTAAGGACAATTTCAAAAAATATGTCTTTCCAATTAATATTAAATATGTAATCTATTGATAAAGCCATTATTAAAATATCCAAAAATTGATTTTAGTGGTTCCATTTTTTTTAATTGTCAAGCCACCGAATATTCCGCTTCCATCAAGAGGTATGCAGCATGTGAAATGATATGAATTGTTTTGACCGAAAATTCTTTAAATTTCAACAAATTTAATTTTGCAATTATCTATAAATATTAAATTAATACTTTTCTCCTGTTGCTTTTTTACTGTGAAGCAATTATAGATTTCAAAGCCACAAAGATTAGAGGGACAAGATATGGAATAAATCCAGTGTAACATAGTCACAGACATTAATCGAAGGTCATAAAGCGCAGCTGCCTTTCGCACTTCAAATTAAAAGAGAATGCATATTGTGATAAATTATTATGTTAATAACTGTTTTCTTCTTCTTATTATTATTATTAGATATGAACAGTTTTGAAGGGTAATTCAGGAAATATGTCCTTCCAATTGACATATTGATAAAAATGTTAAATTAATACTTTCACCGATAAATCCCTTACGTAAAATTCATAGCGTTATTAATTAGTGAAATATTGCTTTGAATCAATGCTGAAGATTTTTATTTTTATTTATTTATTTTTCTTTTAAGTAGTATGATAGTAGTAACAGCACGGGTTTCGCGACGAGAAAAAGAAGTTAAATGAGACAAGACGAACTGATTTGAAATAAATAATGAAATTTCCAACAAATTCGTCATTTCCATTATATTGAAATGTTAAATTACTACTTTTCTTTTCTTTTCTTTTTAAATTGTCAAACCTCCAAAGATTTCGCGAAAAGCCACAAAGATTAGAGGATTAGGCTAGATATGAACAGTTTGTAAGGACAATTTCAAAAAATATGTCCTTCCAATTACATATTAATAAATACTTAATCTATTGATAAATCCGTTATATTCAAAAATTGCTTATAATGTTTCCATTTTTGGTGGCAGGTGGGTACATTTATTTTTTTTTTTTTTAATTATCAAGCCACAAGATATTCCGCTTCGATCAAGAGAGGTGCAATACGTAAAATAATATGAAGTTTCGACTGAAAATTGTTTAAATTTCAACAAATTTGTCATTTCAATTATCTATAAATGTTAAATTAATACTTTTTTTTGAGTAACCATCAAATATTTTGCAATGTGCGAGAGAGAGATAAAAAGCAAGATATGATCAGTTTTGAAGGTATCAGTTAATATTTCAGCTCATTCAATTATCGTTAAATATTAAATTAATACTTTAATCGAAAATTTCGTTATGTAATGTTTACTAATCGTACACATTTTTAACAGTACCATTTTATATGTTTCCGTTAGTAAATATTTTATTTTATTGTCAAACCACAACGGTTTCACAATCAAGAGAGTTTATCAAGATACGACCTGTTTTGAACATCCAATATTTCAACAAATGTATATTTCCAAATATAATAAATGTTAAATTCATACTTTCATCGAGAAATCCCTTCGTAAAATTCACAGCATTATTAATTACATACTGTAAGTTTGGTCTTGACTCTAATTTTTGTTATTGTCGAACAATGCTGTGAAACTAGCAGATATATGATCAAATTGCGTAGGCAAACAATATTTCAGTGGTAATTATTTCACAATTGGCTACTGTGAGATATCGTTTTATTATTTTTTTATGCTTGGTGATTTTTATTTTCAAATACACTTTGGGTTACTTCAAATCTGGGGTCACATCGTGAACCCACGATATATATTATGATCCGTTTTCGTAGAACTAGTAAAAACGGATTATTTTATTTTTTTATCAATAAAATATTATATTTTATAGTTAAATTATAGTTTTTATTTATAAATTAAACCGTTGTTACATTACAATATTCCTTGATATTTAATCAATTTTGTTGGACTTGATTTGTTTGTTGTCTAGATGGTCTGCGAGTTGTTGAACTGTCAGCGGCCTTCTCAAGTCAGAATCGAGAAGTCTGATATGATGGACACAACACAAATTAAAGCTTTTAAGTTTTATATTTACTAAATTTGCCACAGGTTTTCTCAATATTCTATATTTTTTATTTAAATCAATATTTATATAGTTTTTTAAAGTGTAAAACTGTCAAACTATGACTGTTGGTTTATGAGTGAAAACCTTTTTAAAACTTTGGAGTGTGGATTCATAATGGAGAATTTAAATATATTTTTATACGTGTAGGTGTATATACATTTTTTTAAATTTAATCTAAATATTTATGTGTGTGTGGATTTCCTGCTCTTGAAAGTAGAAAAAAAAAACAAAGGGGCCGAATCACATAACGTATTCAATCCTGGGCCCGATTAATTTATAAAAAAGGGTCAACAAAGTTGCGAAAACAAAATTGTTATGGTCATTTGAACTAGCTTACCTTGATTTGAATTCCAGTCACCAGTTTAGTATGCAATGCTGGCTTTTAATCGGTCGTAAAAAAATCACAGGACACTTATAACATTGAAAACTATGGTCAGGTCGAGACGGGGAGAGTGTTTCACATGATTTTCCATCCCAAAACACTGCGCCGGATTAAAAAGAGAAGGTGACAAACAAAACAAGCGAGGCAGACTGGGCAAGTCTAGAAATGGCCGGTGGAAGTGGGGAGAGTGAACGGTGAACGGGGCGACGCGGTGTAGAGGGCAAGGGAATAGGTTTAGTTTGGTGGAAGCCCAGCAGAGGTTGAACGAGCAGATTACGCTTTTTCAACCCTTAACGGATGAAAATGATAGCGCTTTTCCGGGGAGGAAAATGTCACGTTATCAAGAGCAAAACTAGGTAATAAAATGTTAGTAAACTTTTAATCATCACTTAATGAATTTACCGTGTTTTGGTGAATTGTCTTTCAAGTCCTCATAGGTAAATAATTTTATTAACCCTTTAAGTCGTTCGCAAATCCGGAACCCATGGGTCGTGCGACCCTTATTGATAAAAATGAACTTTTTGTGTCAAAATTCAGGTATTAAATAAATAAGAACGACCCTTTTAGGCATAAATAAATAATTTACAATTAATTATTGTTTTTATCTTAGGTTTTTGGTTGAAATGAAAAATTAGTGTCACGAGTGGGATCCAAGCCCACGACCTTCGGCATTTTTCCTCCCAACCAAAAACCTTAGAAAAAAACAATAATTAATTGGAATAATTAATGTGGGCTATTATGGTCTAAGCAAATATGGATTAATTTATATAATTTACAATTGATGCAACGTTTAAAAATCACTCTTTTTTTAAAGGAAGCAATGATAAAGCCTTGTACACTTTCAAGTCAGTACACTATCTTACGCAGCTTTACTCTTCTTTTTATAAATAAATATAATATCTTGAATAATATTTGAAGGAATAGCCAGTACAAAAATTACATAAAAATGTTATCGATTTCCAAAATTTTGAACCAATAGAATTAGAATTAGATTTTCAATTCAAATAAAATTATGATCAAGAAAAATCATAATAAAAAAAGCAGAAAGACAGAACGAGGGGAATGGTGAGAGAGGGGGAAATAGGTAGATAAATAAATAGATAGGGAGGGAGGGAGGGAGAGAGGGAGAGAGAGACGGAGAGAGTGAAGGGGAGAGAAGAAAAGAAAGAGAAGAAAACAGATCGAGTAGACAGACACAGTGAGTGAGACAGATAGGGACAAATAGACCAAGAGAGTCAGACAGATAGATAGAGACAGATCAAGACAGTCAGACATAAGAGGCAGAAAAATCGATATAGAATGACTGAATGGTCGCAGGTGGAAAATATACTCCCTACTGCATGGATAATTTATGTTTTTAAAAAATCATATAAATAGTCAGACAAACCGACAGAGTCAGAGAAACAGGCTTAATAAAGAAAAATCATTCTTATTGAAGGACCAAGTGAGGTGAAAAATAGCTCTTCTGCTGACAGTACAGAACTTTTCACAACTCCAGGCATGAGCACCAAACCAAGGAGAGCTTTGATCGTCAGTAGATCAGTCAGATCCAAGTATGACTGTTTGGTAGCGAACTTGAACAAAAAAAATATGTCAAACCATCACAATTAAATATTTTTATTAAAACTCATGTGTTATAATTTTGGTCATTGACGTAGATTTTTTAAAGAAATAATAGCAACTTTTTGTGTCTTCGAAAATCGTACATTTATAAAATCCTGCCGATAAAAAACAAATGTTCTGACAATAAAGCTGGGCACCTTTCCATGCTTATAATCCTGACCAACAACTCAAGATACCCAACATGAAGATGGCAAAATGTTAAAATGCGTGTCATGCCAACCCGGCGAGAGAAGGAAGGATCGTAACGACCAAATTACAGTTTATCTTAGCATCTAGGTTGACACCCACAGAGAAAATTAAAAAGCACCTTGATTAGTTTTTGAGCATGTGTTTATTTTAAATATCTAAATCGTTGAGAACAGAACAAATGTAGAAACTTTTCAGTTTTCAAAAAAATGTATACAGTTTCTTCAATACATCAGGCAGATTGCATCTAAATATAAGCAATACCGCGAATATTTGCTTTATTCAGTCTTTTAAAGTTAACTTTTTTATGTACCCAAAACCAAAACGTAATTTTTATCGAACTTCAGATCTAACGTTCAATTCCTTGGAAAAATCGTCCTAATACGAGGTCCTACAGAACAACGTTCTTTGATTTTTATATACATTTACACAAAGTTCTATGCATTTTTATATTCTTCATAAACGTTATTGCTAGGTCAAACTTTCATCCTGAGAAATAATTAAAAACTGAGGTGAATAATTTCAGCAATAAGCACCTTTAGTACGTATTTGTTTTGATTTTATTGGAATGGGGACCAACAATAGAAAAACAACAGTAAGTTTTCGACTATTTATTGTTATTGAGATGTGACAATGAACTGACAGTGGTTAAGACCGTTGTAGACAACAAACCAAAACAAGCGTTGTTTACTTCAAACTATACTAGTCAGTCAAGACAATGGAACAAATTCTACTCCCAAAATGTTTTATATTTTTAGAGTTTAACAAGGTGAGTCCTTAAAATGTCACCTTGACTTTGAATATTTATGTCAATAATATCTAATTGTTGTTTTGTTCATGAGCACCTCGAGTTGCGAGAAGTAAACTTGCAAAACCGGTCGTGTTAAAATTTTATTTTTAGTGGAATGACGCCCTCTAACTCTCGAATATGAGAGTTGAATATTTCTATTGTAGGGAAAGTGATAGGATTGTAGGGTTGAATTGTAAAAATAGTAAAACAACTCAATAGAGGTGGTAATTTGGTCGTTGCCTTCCATTTTAGCCTGTCTTCTCTCGCTAGTTTGGTCGGTCAGACGCATTTCAACATTTCGCCATCTCCAGTGTTTAGTTGATGCCTCTCCTAGCTTATAACCCTGACCAACTATTCAAAAACCCAACACCAAGCCAGCCTCACCATATGGATAATATGGTACATAATTCAATAAAATTTGGAAATTTTATGTAATCAAACATTATTCAGATAAAACAATACCCAGGACAACAATAGAAAATAAATTAAAACATTGTTAACTTTTTTAATAGTAATATAGCAAAATTTAACTGTCTCTATCGACTAACAAACTCCTTGGACTAGGACATGACATTCACATGACTTTAAAAATATTAATACAAATTGACTATAGCAGTACACAATACAGTTACATTTTAATGTAAAATATACATTAACATTCTAGCTCAAACATGTTATTTTTGTAAAATATTTCTTATAATTCAGTCTTATCCCTGGGGTTTCCACTCCTATCGTACCGTTTCAATTCGTTAGTTGCATATTCTGAGACATATTTGATTAAATCATCCAATTCCCTTTCACCGTCATAAACAACTGGTTTATCTTTGGAATTTTTCGGGACCCAGTACAGAGTCGGGTACCCCTGGACTTCGTACTCCGGAGGTACGTCATTTTTGGTAGCATCCATTTTTACTACTTCGATCTCTTCCGAAGCCATCCGCTCGGCGAACTCTTGCCATATCGGTGTGAATTTCTTGCAATGTCCACACCACGGTGCATAGAATTCGATAAAAGTGTCTCTGTCGTTTTGATTTACGATCTCGTCAAAAGTTTTACCTACTGCTACTTTAAGCGGGCCGTCGTTGCTCTCGGGAATCGGTTCTGATTTGATGTATGGCTCCAATTCTCCGGCTTTGAGGTTGGTCAAGAAAGTTTCGAAGTTTTCCATAGTAAACTCTTCTAGCATCGGGTATCTATGGTTGTCCAGTAATTTGGCAAGTACGAACGGTTTATCCGATGAACTGTAATCAAAATCGTCGATATCGTCTTGAAAATCGTCCTTAGAGCTGATAGCGAATTTAAAATCGTCCACAAAATTTTTAGCAACTTTTAAAACCCTATTTCTCCAGTAGTTTGTACCCTTAGTATTTTTCGAGTAATCAATGTTGAAGTAAGTAATAACCAAGGGGGCTTTGAAATCGTCCATGTTATCCTTCTGTCTGTAACCGACTAGACCGTGTTGTTTCTCCTTGAGCCAATCTTCCAGTTCTTCTTTTGATTCTTCACCTTTGTACTGGACGGAACAGTCCTCAAATATGTTGCATAAATGTTTCGGCCTGTAAAGTACGATGCCATCCTTGACTTCGTATTTCATGAAAATATCCTCGGATTCGGCCAAACCAAATCGGAATCTATCCCTGTGAACATCGCTTACTTGCATGAAGGCTTTTTTAAGCTCGGAGTCCGAAGAAAAAAAACCTATCACGACGATATTTGGCAAGGCCAAAAATTTTTCAACAGAATCATTCGTTAAGAAAACTGCACTAGGTCCCACTTGGCTTTTGATGTGGCTGACGATTCCATCCGCTTCTCTAGGGCCGTCGTAGCTTTTCCACAGCTTTCCATTCTGGAATATTTTTAATGTGGGGTATCCGGTTACGTCGAATTTACTGCACGTTGTTTTCCCTTTTTCGGTGCAGTCGATTTTCGCCAAAACGACAGGTGGATCGTTTGCCGCCAGAGAGGGTGCAGACTTTTCAAATTCCGGCTTCAATCTTTTGCAATGCCCACACCAAGGAGCGTAGAACAACACCAAAGCATATGTGTGTTCTTCCAGTCGAGTCGAAAAATCATCGTCGGTGAGCTCGAGTACTTGCCCGACAACGGAAGAGGACAACGCCAACAAAAAGACGGCAAATAACCGCGTCTTAAACATACTTCCTAAGATGATAATTTAATAAAAAAAAGAAGCAAATTTTGTCATAGACGAAACGACGGAATTTGAAAATAGTTAGTTGAAACGGCGAAAATAAAATACTCACAGAAATTTAAAAGTCAAATTTAAGTTCTAAACTGAATACCGACTTCTGTATCAATAAAAAATATAAGCGACTTTTAAAGTACTGACAAAATAACCTATCAAATTCAACGATTAAATATTAATTTATAACACACACGCTGACAATGATCAGATTTATGGGCAACTGAACTTCAGTATTACAGTTAACCTGTTAACATGTGTAATAAGATCATGTGCTTTTACTTTTTTTTTATAACAAAAAATTAAGTAATAGTTATTGTGTATTATTAATTAATTTTATACCGCAGTAACAATGCCTAGGTATAATATGGTATATAGATGTCACAAAAACCAGTGAATTGACCAATGTCTTCTGTGCAAGACCAAAATTATGTCCAATCAAATTCACTTGGAAGCACACATCGGTTTTTCAATTGAAATACCATGTTTGTGCCATAGATAATCTTAAAAGAAGTTATACTTCAAAACACTTTTTCATAAGATCAGATAGCCAAAAAGCCTTAAAGCATGTAAAAGTATTTCCAAATCAGTAGGTGAATGCGACTAAAGCATCCAAAATCTGGCAACACATACTTGTCTAGCAATGCAATAGGTGCCAGGGCGCTAGAGAACTATGGGTAAAAAGCAAGCAGGCAAACTGGCCAGAAGAGGACCTCCAAGACCATTTACAGGTTCAGAAACTATAATTAAAATAACGTCAAACTGAAAATCCCATTTAACAATGGGGCCATACACAACATGCGAAGTTGAGTAACAAGAACAAACTTGTATGGTACCAGACACATATGGTTTAACATGACAAAGCTAACAAACACATTACTATAATTAAACTAGGCAAAAAGCCAGGGAGTGTTAGAGCCATAGATACACCAGAACACAAAACATCTGAAAAAACTTTAAAATGGGTCTATATAACAAAGAACCCATTTGAAGGGGATTCAAGGAACTGTTATTGTACAATTGTATTATCTTAAAACATGATGCAACCACGCAATATATAACTAATGGTACCAAGAAGACCCAGGGAAAAAGAACAACCACAATAACTACTACCTTCTACTTCTTACATGGAACCATGCTGGGGAATGGGGTTGAAAATAAGGACTAAAAAGACAATATCAGAAGCTGTATTATAGGTTCATAATACATAAGTATTAAAAACTGCTGAACAAAATAACGATCATAGCTGAATTGTTTTTTCTTTTTCTTTTTTTTAACTAAACCTAATTGTATAATAATAGCATGGCCCAACCTCAGTCTTAAAAATTGAATTGCCTTTGTATCATGAAATCACAACTGTATAACTCATGAAAATGTGGAGATATTTTTTCTGCTTATTTATAAATGAAACATCTTTAAAATCAGAAGCATATGGAAACAAATAAAAACATGTTTAATAAATTCATGTATGTACATTTAATATTTTTATTTGTACAAACTTAACACTACTATGATTTTCACAAGCTTTTGACTATTTTTTTTTTCTTTTGCATATACAGTCTTTGAATATACAGTATTGCAGAAAAGGCTATAAAACGTTTGGACCGAAAAAATTCAGACTCATTGATTGTTATAATATATATGAATGTCACGTGAAAAGTAAGCACTCATTAGAATTCACTAATTTTAAAAATTACAGACATAAAACACAAGATACTATTTAAAAAGAGTATAGATTAACTTGAATTTATTCACATTAGTATCATTTTGTTTTGCCACTTTTATACCTTACCTCTTTTCTCAAGGATTAGTCCAAAGTACACAACTTCACACCGTTCCTGTATCAATCTATATAATTAGTTCGGGTTGGTATATATACTATTATAAACTGTTTCCCTTATCCGATATTGTATATAAGAAAAACTAAAAAGACTTGCGTACTTACAATTATAATAGGTGTTTCTTACCTTAAATATGTACATATAAGTCAATATTTATATAATAAATACAATGTAAGCATTTATAATAGTAATACAAATGTATATTTACAAAAGAAGGAATTGTTTCAATCACATTGAGTTACAAGATTAAACTTTAATATTATAGAAAACAATAAACTAGCAGTGGTTTTTTTATTTATTTTTAAATTTTTCATTATAGCTGGTGTTTGACTGTGTGATATTTTCATATTGCACTTTTTCTTTCACCCAACTATATTAAAATAAGGGAAAAGGTTTTCACTATGAACATTTTTAAAATTTTAATTATAAACATTCAACTGTTGAACCTTAGAAACTAAAATTTGCGATAACCAAAATATAGACGATAGCACCATTAAGTAACATGTTTAAAACACAGGAAATGTCGTTCCTTATAGACCAATGTCTTCTTTAAGTCAAGCAAAACGCATCAATATTAGATTTCATTTTAGTCTCATAATTAAATGTTATATTCGTTATCAGCTCTAAGCCAATGAATAATGAAATATCTGAACTTCACAACAATTTTAGAAAATTAGGACACGAATATTGCTTAGGCCTGATGAAGGTTGACGAATCCCGGCAATTTCAGTTCTTCTAATTTAATGTAATAGCAGCATGTCCTATTGATTCACTTTTTTTTAAAGTTTTATTTGTATTGAAAACAATTATGCTATACATGTCCGTTATGTAACAATATCACACAGCCTTTTGCTGGAAGGAGGCAACGGGGAAGCAAACTTTACGGAAGAGACTTTACATTATTTTAGAGCCGATATTTTCTGGTTAACTTTTCTAGTTGAATCAAAACCTATAAAAACCATTGATTTTCAACAATATTTACAAAATTTTCTTTCAATATATATNTTATCAATAATTAGGCTTTCATAAATCACAATAATCGAAAAAGAAAAATATTAATAACAAATAACACAGCTCTCACAGGGCAACAGTGCATAGAAAGAAAATAAGTCTTAAAAAGTTATTGTAAACAATGTGTTAAACAATGGCAAGATAGTTAATTTTTTTAATTTAAATGTACACGGTGTTATTTATACAAAAATTAGGTCTTGCAATCAAAGGAATGCTTTTTGAAGATGTTTTAGGAACTGATGTAAAACTATTTTGTTCAACTGTAAAATAACTAGAAACAAATGTGTCCTAAAAGATGAAAATAATTTCATAACAATTAACATCGTTTAAAATCATTCGCATCTTAGAAAATGATAATTCCTTTATTTATAGCCAATCGGATTATGTTTTTCTGGACAATGGAGCAAGCTTCTAGTTATAATTTTGGTTAAGATTAATTGGCTTTCCATATTTTTTTTTATATTTAAATTTCATAAGAAGGCACTTTTAAGAGCGCGCACCATTTTGCATTATGGAGGGAGGCTTCACTGCATTGCCAAGCAGTTACTCTCTTGGTAGGGGGGCACCCCCAGCCAATGAATGATATATTCAATTTGATTTATAGGAGAAAAGAATGCCTTTTCAAAAATACCAAACATTTGGTGGTAATATAGATTCATCAAAATCAAAAATTCATTTCCTCACTTTTCTTATAAAAAAAAGTTTCAACTTGGATCAATTGTAATTTCAACTGTCATAATACAATAGAAATGATTTTTTGATTTATCAGCATGTCTTTTATTTCCTGTTTTATTTTTAACTAATTTCAATTAAGAATGTTTTTTATGATGCAAATACCCGTTTATAGTATCCCATTTGTTATGTATTGAAATCCATCATACAATTTAGTACTTAAGGAGTGAATGCTTGACTCAACCATGTTATCTACAAGAAGCTGTAATTGTTCTTCGGTCATGTTCAAATGAAATCTGTTTTTAAGCCCCTGTACCGTTGCTGCCCCGGATTTGAAACAAGGCAACTGGGAACCTACAAAAAAGGTATACATAGAGTGTGATAATAAACGGTTTATATATAAGTAATAATCCTTACCGAGCCTCATTATCTCGACGAGGCTTAAGATTTTATCCATGTGTTTTCGTGCTGCGACAAGACCTTGGAGCATGAGGATTTTGAAGTATTCAAACATATCTGACCCTGGGCCTCCCATCACGTCAACAAATTCTGACGTCAGTTTAAAAGGGGATGTTTCAAAACCGAGATTCCTAGGCGATGTTGATAGAATAAATCCAAAATCTATATGAATCAGGTGTCCCTCTCCACTTAGTAAAATGTTTCCATTGTGTCTATAATATACACAAAATAATGTCAATTTAATGTTGTAATAATTTTTAATGATAGTTCGTAAAATATATTCACCTGTCTTTTACTTGGACAAGATATGAAACAAGACAATAAGCCGCACAAGATCTCACAAAATTTCTTTGAGCAGTGAGAAACGCTTCGGAATTCTGGGATCCGAACTCTTTGATAAAGTACTGCTGTAAAGAAAGCTGGCAGTGTTTCTTTATTTGATGAAGGGAAACCGTATTCAAAATTGGTTCTATGAGACCTGAGTCATCAGAAAGGCAGAGGATTCTAGAAAAAAAAAAAAGAACATAAAAAAACTATTTTTAGTTAAAATTTTTATCTAGTTACCTGTAAGGATGTAGCCACAGAGGTACCCTCTCGGCAGTCCAAATGTTCTGGAGCATTGTCAGCACTTGAGAAGCCAACAGTTCTTGCCTTAAATCATCTCCACATTTGACTATCACAGACAATAGTTTCCATGAACTCATATATCCATAAGGTGAACATTCGCGTATCCGCCTTTCTTTTTCTTCCCAAGGTTCCTAAACAACCAGCAAATAAAATAAAGTAGGGGAACCAAAATTACACATAAAATATTCACACCAAGGTATTTAACTTGCATTATTTTATTTCATTTTCAAACACTATAACTAAAGAAAATGTAAATAAAAAATTTTTTAGAAACAATTAACGGGGGGGGGGGTATGATTGCCCCAATAACTTCTCAAACTGAAATGCACAGGACGCGGGACCCTGGGAGTGGCGGCAGATGATCTTGCCACATCTTTTCTCATACACCGAGCTAGGGAGGGAAGTGCATGTTAGCATCGTTAAACCAATGAATGTAATCCCTGGAGAGCATGGTTCCCTGCCTGACTCGGAACCACAATCCTCACAAAACATAAAGAAACCACCCTCAAGAAGACAGGCATAATCCACCTTGGAGCGATGCCTATGGAATCCTGCTTGGTACTGGCTGTAAAATCCCTTTGTCTCTAGATGCCATGTCTTTAAGGATAGGTATGATGAGTGCCTCTCACCAACCACTGTGGTACGAACAAGTCTGCCAAACGATGCTTCATACCCTGGGGAACGTGGCGAAGCATCTCATATGGCATACCATCACACCTTGGGCATGAATTCTGGGTAAGCCCCAACGCACTCAAACTCTCCCATCGTCAGTGGCACGTTGTATGATTATTACTGGTTCTGCCAGCGAAATCTATCTCAGTATGTTCCGCCTCAGATTTTCTTTGCCAGAAGCTAGAATATGCCTCAGTACTGGACCCTATATTAGTTTTTCAATGACCACCAAAGCTTCCGCCATACTCCCCTGATCACTGATCAACATTGGCCAGAGAGGGATCTGAGTCATTTCAGACACATACTTTGCCAGGCTATCCTTTTTGGCATGGGACAAGGTATGCCTTACCCTAGCCCTTTTTACTTTAAAATGTATATGGTTTTCCTCTGCCAGATGTCTTCTGAAGTCAGACTTCTTCTCTACTTGTGCATGGCCGCAGGCATCGCTCCACTAAGAACCCGAGGTCTACAAGTACACCCGCCATAGTTCTGGGGACTGATATGCCTGCAGCACAGTTGATCTCTCTCTCTCTAAGAGGAGGAGATCGGTGTCAACATTCCCTGTTAAGTCGGGTGCCAACACTGTCACGGAAAAAAGCTCTTAATTCATAAGCTTCACGCTCTACTTCATGGGAGTGCGATACACCCCTTTTGAGATGGCACTCCTCAACACTATTGGAAAATGGTCACTCAGATTGGGGTCCCCCCCCCAATGGAGCTCATCCTACTCAGGTGGCCAGGGATGGTGAAAGTAATGACAGGTCGATCATACTAAAACTGCATGTACTAAAATCGACATGTGTAACAGCACTGGTGATAGTATGTACATATCATTTCATCATATATCGGTGGGGACCCACGACCTCAGGTCTACGAGCTGAGCATCTCTCAAGCTGACCATTTTGCTACCATGGCCCGTTGTTATAATCGTTGCTAGTATGAGATGTGTTAAGTATCTCTTTGATGTCTTATGGCAGTGAGTGTGGGTTATTTGTGGCAATTGAATTTAATCATCACTGGTTAATGGATGACTAGAGGACTTTCCATCTTCCAAATCGAATTTTCCGTTTAGTTTGAGCTGCAGTTTTTTTTTTCTTGGTAATAAAAAAAAATAAAAAAACATTAAAAGATAAAAATGCACTATTTTTCCTCCATTTTAAATTGGCAAAACTACTTGTAAAAATATGAGATCTCAAACAAAACGAATAAAAACACATTAACTATCAATTGTCAGAGTGCAAAATCAATAATGACTAAATAAACATCCCTTCAAAATACAAGAAGAATAATATCAAATTATTATTAAATGCTACAGAATAAAACCAATTGCTTTAACCCTTTCAGGATGGTTAGTGTGATATTGTGCTCTTGCTTCCCCCAGTGAAGTACTAAAGGTGGCCATTCACGATCCCTCCAAATGGAACCGCTCCAAGCCGTACAGTTCCATTTGGAGTGCTTGAAATTTGAGGGGGCATTCACGACCGCTCCACAGCGAGGTCGTTCCAAATGTCAACCAGTGAATTACCTTCTCAAAATGCATGACGATCTCTTGTGCTACTCTTCTGTTTATTTATATATTAAAAGCAAAAAATCGAAGAGGAAATGGTGTAAGAAGTGGCTCCTGAACAGAAGCCATAATACACACATCAATTTGATGAAAGATCTTTCCCTTGAACCTGCTGATTAGAGGAACTATTTAAGGATGGATGAAACATCTTATTTATTCATTATATTTAGTGTTCTATTGACCAAATTACTTCTTTCAATTAATTCATCTTTTTTATAAGGTTTTGGTTGAAATGAAAAAGCTAGTAGAAAAATCCATGGCCTTCGGATAAATACGCTGCTGCTCTACCACTTGAGATATCGTGACTTTGATCCTCTCCAGCACCAAAAAATGGCAAAAAGAGAGAAAATTCTAAAGGTTGTAGGTAGAGATGGGGAGTTTGTGTCCGAGTGGATCGAAGTCACGATAGCTCAAGTGGTTAGCGCAGCGGCGTATTTAGCCAAATGTCGTGGATTCAAATCCCCTCGTGACACAATTTTTTTCATTTCAGCCAAAACCTTACAAACAAACAAAAAAGTCTTATTTATATTTACTCCAGCTTGTTACCCCATTGATTAGAAAACAAAAGACAGTCATGAGAGAAATCATCACTCTACATGAAAGGTTGGCAACCACATTATGATTTCTCGCTACAGGGATGAACTATAAAGAACTTAAGTTCTCTACTATGATTTCTGCTCAGCGCTTAGAGCTTATTATCAATACCGCATCTCTCGTTGCATTTGTATCCTTTGTTTTGAAAACGTCGACCAACTGGTTGAGGACCGAATTTATTTTATTTCTATCGTGGTAATCATTGTCCATCACTTAACATACACATGGTAAAGTTTCATACAATTCAATCACCTCAACAATAAAATTTTGATTGGATGTCATTACCATAAACAATAAACGTTTTTGATTTTTTGAGAATGTACGACAGAGATGTTTGCTCAGTGACAGAAAAACAGAGACTGCGCTAAAAAAACGCGGGTTTTCCCATTCACGACCAAGCCATCGCTCCAATATTCCACCGTTCATGCCAGGTTTTCCCATTCATGAACGTGCCATGCCGTCGTTGCGCCATAGATATTTGGAGTGACGCGATGGAGTTTGGGCCGGTCGAATATTCGGCACAGCTGGGCACGCCAGTTGTTTTGCCATTGACATGGGTTTTGGAACGGCGTCGCTCCGTTTGGACTGCTAGGAGCGATTGTGAATGGCCACCTTAAGAGTGTGACGGCTGGTATTGTGCACGTCCCTCTTCACTTTTAGACTGAATTTCAAAGAAACAGTGGATTGATCAAAACAGTAAACAATGGTGTTTGTTTACTAAATTTCCCACTCTCATTAGCCCTAAAAATAATAATTTAAATAGCATACTTCTTCTATGAACCTGAATCTAAAAGTGTACAGAGTAGTGTGATATCACGCTCTCCGTACCTCACTTAGCAAATGTAGAGTGCTGACATCCTGAAAGGTTTAATAAAAATGGCATAATAATATGTTTATCATGTTACCTTAAGTGCTGCAGCTGAGGGGTCCTCTGGATCATGAGTGAAAGGTCTCGGATCATGTAAAGATTCTGAGAGCCTCCGTCTAATATCACCAGCAGCAAAGAGGGAAGGCTCCCGAGAATCTGTCGATTCTTGAGACAGCTGTGATATTGTGTCTCTATCGGCTGGTTTTCTCAGTTGTAAATACTACAAAAAACAAAATTACCCACTAATCATCATTTAAATTAACTAGGCCTTTTTAGGTCAAAGGTAGGAGCATGGGAAAAGGAAGTAACACAGGGATACCTCGTGTACTATGCAGTAAGCAAAACTCATTGGTAAAATCCAGATAAATGAAACAACTTCAAAAAATTGACCAGTTTGGATTTCTTTAATCTAAATTGAAATTCCAGTAAAAAATGCATGCTTTAATAAGAAATGTTGTTATGTAATAACACGAGCATGCATACCTGCTGGGATATATCGTCGTCTTCTTGAGACCACCATTCCCCCTCGTCCAACTCTAAATGACAATAACCGGAATGTGCAGCAGCGAGATTTTCCTCAGATTTTGTATGCCTTAGCGTGTTCATGCTCTTGGAAACTACTGGCGTCGTCGCTAAATCTTCCACCTCTACCACTTCAACATAGAGTATATAAGGTGCCTAAAAATTAACAAAAATATAAATCCAGGGAGCATTATAAAATGATAATAATAATAGTATTGTAGGAATTGATCTAAATGTACCTTATCTTTGGAATTAAGGACAGCTGCTGCATGAGGTGGTATCCTTACAATATGATGCGGTTCATGGCTGTTTAAAGGAAGCCAAACTCTGGCCGGGAGATTCAGGTTTAATGTGGTCAATTCTGATATTAGCCTCGTCGTTCGTGCTTCTTTGGTACTAATCGTTGCAAGGACTTTACCAATATTAATTAAAGCTTTAATCAATTCTAATTCTGGTGCAAGTCTTGGAGCCTGAAAATATTTAAATAAATATTTGATGTTTGTTCAAGAAATTTAATTAAAAAGAAAACGATACAAACTGGTCACAATTTATTATTTTATTTTTTAAATTAATTTAATTTTTTCACAAATACATTGATAGTTAAACTTTACACAACACCAATTTTATTGTTAAATGCAGACATAGAATACAAATTACAAATTAACAAACATATAAATAAGATGTTAAAAATAAAAGACCATCAACCGATGACACGCACACACAACGAAAAACCATTATAGATAAATTTATTTAAAAAAATCATTTAAACATTACAAATCGTATGATCAGATTTGCCCGTTGTCACATTTGTTTTTTTATAAGGGAAGTTATATCGAATAACTTGAATTATTTGCAAGGTCAATGTTCGAGAGCTTTTATTCCTAGGCAGTCAATTAATCAATAATATCAATGAGGGTATGACTTACATCACATGTACAAAAGGTTCGTTTCCCTCTCAGGTCATTAACTTTTCCTTGACAGGTGTCGAAACATGCACAGCCATTGTCAAAAGCACGCCCTGAATTCAAGTCGCCTAAACATACCCTGTTTGTTCCTTGAAATTCCATACATGGTCGCATTATTTAACATATTCTTAGAAGAAATAAATTTTGCAAGGCATTACTGAAATATACCATTGACTAATTTCCTTTGCCCCTGAAGTGCTGAGGCGTCAGATCTTGACCTATGATGTGTCTTCTTCAGTAACGCCGGGGCAGTCAGAGACGTCGGGGATGAGATTGTGGTGTTTGAAGGTTCTTTAAGTCTTGATACTCTCCTCATTGGTTCAGCATCTCGTGGCCTAAGTGGGAAAACATTTCGAAAATCCTTTAGTCAAAAAATTAAAAAAGAGAATTTTATTGCCAAAACTAATCTTAAACTCTAGAGCTTTCACTAAAAAACTAAGCTGTTTTGAGCACAATTCAAATACTATACAAATTTTGTTTTCCTTTGCCATTTTGTAGCAACCTGTTTATTAATTTCATTTAAAATAAAACATCAAAACATAGTTCACAATAATACAGTCTAAATGTCAGAACTTCATCTGTAAATGTAAAATATGGAAAAGCTTAAGGAAAATTTAGATTTAACATTTTGCACACATTTGTGTACATATTTTACTGCAAAAATTATGTGCATGCACTTTTACAAAGGTGTTGAATTGTTTTAAAATAGGAGTAAACTCTGTAATTTATTTTTTGCAATTGATGAAACAATCAACAGAATCAAACAATCAACAGAATCAAACAGTCAACATCAAACATTTTTTTTTATGAAAGCTAGAACCTTGTATAAAATAAAAACTAAAATAAATGTATGTGGTTGCAGTGAGAAGTGATGTCAAAAATGGTGAAAATTGAGTTAAATACATACATGAAAAAATAACAAAACCACTGCAGTAAATAGCTAATGTTGAGTGAATCAGAAAAATATATTCATGTAAAATTTTATCAACCACTCAATTTTGTAACAAAATTTAAACCTGACATTTTTTTGTAAATAATAAAAAAAGGCGATCAACCTCTATGGGTTAGGTCCGCCTTATGGTAGGATGGCTGACGCAGATCCAGGGATGGCAAGGGAGAGCCAAATGATGCAGTACTTTTTTTTTTTTTTTTTTTAAATAAAAATCACGATTTCAGTTTCAACGATTCTGTGCCATTTTTAAGATTTTATTTCAGGAAAAGTTTTAATTTTACATTTTTGTAAATATATATATTTATTCAAAATATTTACCTTAGCATGACAAAAAAATTTAATTATTTCAACTTGTTAAAAAAAAATTTTTTTTAAATGTTTTTGCAATGCAAAGGCAAATATTAGGAAAAAATTAATTATAAAAATACATTATACAATTAAAAAGAATAATGTAAAATTAAAAATTACCTTGAAAATGATTCAAGATTGCCGAAATGTCGCAAAATCGTTCATTTTATTTGACACAAAAAACTTTCTTAATAAGGCCTACCAAAAAGAAATGTTTCATCTATAAAAAGAAATAGAAGGATAAAATAATAAAGGAAAGAAGAATTTAAACTTGTAAACATGATTTTCCAAAAATTTCTTTTTTGTACTTAACCCACTTTTCATTGCAACCATATAAATATTTAATTTCCGTATTATTTTCATTTTTCTAACTAAGTATTAGTTTAATGGCAAGAGTCAAAATTAATTCATTAAAAAATAAACACCTTAATTCTCCTGATAATATTAAATTTTTTAATTTTGTGCCATGAGATTTCTTCTTAGACGAAAGAGCTGCATCTGAACTGTATGCATCTAGAAGCCAAGAGCATTTCAAGGAGAAATCAACAGATTCTCTACATCTAAAAATAAAAAATAAAAAGAATTATACCGTGACATCAACATTCGACATACGGCTTCCCTAGAATGGGGGGAAAAGCACGACTAGCTTCTCACTAGGTCATTAATTGAATTACTAAACTCACCTGTGGACTAAATAGGGATGCAGTACTTCAGCAACGTCCGGCATCTGTATGTACATGTTGACCAATTGGGGCAGATAAAAATCGACATCATTGTCGGGGAAACTGAAAACCTTGTTTCCTGAAGAGGAAAAAACAAATTTGTTTTCTTTTATTTTCTCATCTCTGAATATAAGATTGAATCAAGGCCAGACAGCATTCTAGCCTGATGACATCACACTTAATGAAACACTTTACAAAACATGGCATTTAGGAATTTTTACAACTATTGTATAATGTGCAATGTCCATGCAATAGAATGTAAATTAAATTTATTTTAATATCAACAGCCCTTATCATGTAAGTTCTAATAATGAATGACAAATACCTAAGCTAAAAGAATACAACAAAGGAAATCAATTCAATTGAGGCAGAATTTGTTTCACAGATGTAAATTAGTTGCAATAAATTAGTGTTATAAATTATGCCATGATAAACAGTTTATATATAATTTATTTACAATTAAAAAATTAAATTTCTGGCTAATGAATTTTTAACAGGTTTACTTTACAGTAGAAGTGGCTTTTTACAAATAGAATTACATAACTGAAATTTCTTAAATCGGTCAGTTTGTATAGGTCACTTATTTACATTTTCCACTCTAAACAGATTACTTTTTGTACTGCCAGTCATATTCAGAAACAAAAGCTAGTGTTTATTATTTTTTATATTGTTATGTAAGGCTAAAACCAAAATTTATAATACAAAAAAGCTCAAAATCAAGCATTATTTGAAATTAATCACTTGTTTTATGATTAATAATAATAAGGGGTAGTAAGAACACGAGAAAAAAGTACATAAAATTTTTGTAGATACATTTGAAAATGAACAAGGTCCAAATTTATCACTGACCAGCTAATCTAACTATGATAACATTTAATAATGCTATCCTTTTCCTCTTAAGCGTTTTTACACCACATAAGGGGGAAAATGAAAGGATGGGATTCAAGTCAGAAAAGATACTCAATGTTTCTCATGGGAATAAAGCCTAATAGGCCATTGTTTTCAAAAACAGTCTAATTACTACATGGGAAAAGATATACTGTGACTGCTTAACATTACTTAAAATAAAAAAACTTACCTATATAACTTTGTACACCAGGCTCCTTTGAATTGAACAGGTATGTAATGGCCATGCTCATGTCAAAAAGTTTTGATTCGAAGAGCCTGAGCAGGAAACCTTTTGCAGTGTTCCTGGGAGGAGAGAGAGACAGTTCAGTTTTCTCGTTGCTACATGACCGATCACAGTCTCCAGAACCATTCAGGTCTTCGCTCTCATCTTTATCTGCCTCTTTTGACTCATTGCCGATGTCGAGGCTTTCCTCACTATGATGCGTGGACGTGGATTCAGTCCTCTCGGAGCCGCATATAATTCCAGAGTCATCAGAGCCAGGGTGGACTTCGACTTCTGGGCTCGGGGTAACATCCACTTCTGGGATCTGCTGCAAAGCGGAGTCGAGACTCCTGTTTCTTTGGTGATAATTGATATGGTTGACATTAACACCGGGTAAAATTATACCCATAGACCTGGAGAAAATAAATCAGTTTAAGTCCTTTAGTTATACCAAATTGGTATAAATATCAAGTATACATCATTGAAATATGTTGATACATAACACAAATTATTTATGTTTAAAAAATAGCAGAAAATAAATTTATATGCTAGAAAAGATACGTTGAAGTTGTTAATCGAGATTGGAGTTTATCATTTATCATTGTGTGACGGTTTATTTGAGGTGCTATTCAATGTTTGCAGAAAAAGGTCTATGCAAATTTGCCTTGTACAAAAACGAGCAAAAATTCGTTTTAAAAGAAAGAGAATAATTTAGTCAAATGTGTAACGTGGTGGTAAATTGATGTAGCACGTTGGCGATGCTAAGGCCAGAACCAAGGCCTTTGAAGCTCCATTGAAAAAAAATTCAATCAATCATTACTTCCTGTCTCGGTCTATAAGTTTGATTGAGCAAGAGAGATTTGTTATAGTCAGAAATTAAATGCGACAAAAAAAAGTTTCTCTTTTAATTAGATTTACAAAATTTCTACTTAAGAATATCATAAATGAATATTTAGAACATTAATGTTTTCTAACATTTCAATGTTTCACCTTCCCCCTGTTTTACCTTCCAGTCAAAAATAACTTTCACCAAATGCAAGGTCTTTTTTTTTAATAAAAGACTACTGAAAAGGATATTGGCCAACATTGCTGTAGGTGTGGTAAAAGTGAGTCTTGTGCCCTTTCCAATCTAATTACTTGCACACACACATACACATCCACTTAGAAGGCTCTAATTAAACAGGGGAAGTTTCACTAATTTCACGGATAAGGAGTTGCATCTTCCAAAATAGAAACTTACCAAAGCAGAAGTAGGATTAACAGAGGCAGAAATACAGTTACAATATGACATTTCTAGTCCTGCCATGCAAAATTGTTTTCTTAATATTTATTTAAATCAAAGAATAATTGTTTTGGTAAGAGTTAAGTGTATAGCAATTGTGTTAAGCTCTTAAATATTCAACATTCAGCTATAAATTTTTTTTAAAAATTACACCAGATGTTATTCATTTTTCCTTCAATTGAACTTACAATTAATTTTAATTAATGATTGTCAAACAAAAAATATCATTAATGCAAAATTACACACAAAAAAAAACCGATTCCTTATAATAGACCACCATGTCTAATACATTTAAAAATATATAACCATCTTCAAATACTTATTTGGCATGTGTTATCGTCCAAAAATAAAGTCCTATCTTGCAAACCAGGTGGACAAGATTAGACTCACGAATTAATTAAAAAAATATAAAAAATAAATTGTGATTAATATAGGTCATGTACTATTTCTCAGAATCAAGTCCATTCATTTCAATAAGACCAGTTCTGACTCATCATGAGTCGCTCTCCTAATCTTCAATGTGGATACAACTTTTGAACAGATTGTAAAACAATTTCTAAAGGTCAAAACATGCCAGGCATAGCTGTGATTCTTTTATTTGGGTTACACTTACGAGTTATATTACATTTTATTCTTGCTTATTATTATTATTTTATTTAACTTTTTTTAAGAGAGAGACTGGAGCAGAACATGTAATTATTATTTTTAATACCATTTATTTAATAAAAGTAAAAGTTATACATTTTTAGAAAGTAAATTTCCACGCCTGGATAAATATTTGTGCAGAAAGACTGTACTATCTGTTTTACACTGATGTGAAAGCTATTTTTTTCTTTCAAAAATATATTTTTTATGAGTTTCTATCTTATCTTTAATACTGCCCATTAATCAATTGAAAGGTTCAAACCTTTCTTAACAAGAAGATGGTAAAAATGCAAGCGAGACTGTAACAATAAAAATATCTCTAATTGGTTTTGTAACTTACTATAACAAACAGCATTCAATGCTGTAATGAAATTTTAAAGAATGAATTATGGAAACAAGCAGTCCAGGGAAAGTTTTAGGTGATTTACAAGTGCAGTTTACCTAAGAACCTACATGAGAACAATCCTGGTTTTTAATCAACCAAACTGTTAGGTGGATAAAGTAGCGTGACAACCCATTATTCTTCGCTAATCATCGATGACTTGTTGAATTGTCATATCACCAATCGTGTGAATATTTATATGAAAACTGGATGCTGAAAATAGAATAATCTTTTAATGGATATCCTCGCATAAACCAATGATTCAATTTTCAATAAATTTATTAGTTACACATCACATAAATGTTTACCACGTATAGTTATTTTAAAAAGGGAAAGCTTTTTTTGTAATTCGTAAACGATAAAACATCAAACAGCCCATAAAAAATACAGTTTCTTACTTTAATTTTTATAGAGAGAAAATTCATTTTATTAAATGCCTCACAAAGAAAAATATGATTCACTTAATAGTGAAAAATACTAGAATCATTTTTTTCTTCTTCTTCCAGTTTGTTAAGAACTTCAGTCAAGGAGTTAAAAGGATGAATGGAGTGAATCTGAAAAAGTTAAAAGGGGGGTTCAGATTGGAGTTCATAAAGGTCCATTAATCCAAACTGGCTTGTGTGGGCAAAGACGTGATACGTGAATGACACTATCTCAATTGATTTACTGAATCTTTTTCATCCGTCGGAACCATTTGACAAGCCCTATCCCTACAATTGAAACAAATGTTAAAGAAAAGCCCTGCATGTTTTCAAAAAATTTCCCTGTTTGTTTCAAACTCATTATCAGAAAATAATTGCCCAAATATACGTGAAATACGGTAAATGGTACAAAATTAAATTTAATCTGCCAAGTGATTTAAAATTGAACAGAATGAATTACATCTTTCCTAATCTATATTGGAATTTCATTTGGGAAATCCTTGATTTAAAAAAGAAAAATTAACAGGGTTAGTGGAATATTGCCAACATCAAGTTTTGCAATGAATACACAACAGAGAAATTTTTGAAATTGATTCATTAGATGAATAAAAGATAAATATTTACTACAAGAGAAAAATTTAAAAGTTGATATTGTCAAAAGTATTAAAAAAAATGAGTAATAAAGCAGGAATTTATAGTGAATGTCATAAACATGCCCAATATACTGTAATAATTAATAAATATGAATCTGCAAAATGTACATCGATGTAGTTTATCAACCAGCTACTTCAAAAAATCATTGACCACAAACCCGATAACTGAGAGCACAAAATGTACATTGTGCATCATTAATATATTGCTTATTTATTTTATTTACCTATTGCTAGTTTATCTTTTTTTATCCTACTAAGAAGGAACAGTTCAAAACAATGGAAAAAATTAATAAAACACTTTAAACATTGTTTAAGGGGGTCAAATACATCGTAAACATGTAGTCCTCAGCTCTTATCTAGGAAGTTTCTACACTTCAAATTGCCTTTTTGTGCCAACAAAAAGATTTTATAAACTTAAGTAATTTCATTACATCTAGAAAGTGTAACTACAAACTTAAAACTGTCAAATTTGTCAATGAAAACGTGTCATATAACGAAAGTTCATTATCGAGTCTGTAGAGTTCAATATGCCAAAATTTGTACGTACCAAAGCCAGAAGGAAGAATAAGTATACTGTATGAGCTAAACTTTCGATAGTGAAAAAAATTTATTCTGTAATCATTTTCTTTTATCTAGAAAGTCTGTTGGAGTTCAAAGTGTCAACATTAATATCTGCTTGACCCACACCACAAGGAAATCCTTCTATTTTAAATAACATACATACTGCAGTAAATTAAATTTTAAATCTATTAAGACTGCAAAATGTCAATATTTGGTAACCAAAATGTATACAATATTGTACAGAAAATGTGTACCTCTATTTCAAAGAATCATCATACAATTCTCAAATAGTAATATATTTTAGATATTTTTCAAGTGATCCTTAGACATTATTATGTGATGGATCAAGGACCTAAATGAAGAATACTCCAATTTTTAAAAACGTATTTATAATTTTATAAGTGAAAACTTTTATTATCAAATAAATTGTCTTACAATGCGTTCCTGTTCCTTTATGTAGAAAGTTCGAAGAGTCCAAAATATAAATATTAGTGTGTTTGATATATACCAGAAGCTTTATACATTTAATGTTATATATGTAAATGTCAAAGTATCAAGAAAGTCTGTATAACTTAATGTAAACTTGTGATAACAAATATTGTCATATAATGTTATAAATTTCCTTTGTAAAAAAGAAATAATAATTTTAAAAAAACAACAACACTGGAATGGTTTGGAAAGTTCAATGGGTTAAAGCTAGAATAGATTGAATGCAGAAAAAGAGAAGCCTAAAAATTTTTTAAAAAAATTTGGAAAGTCTGGAGAACTAAGTACCAATTTTGATTAATAAAAACTTGTCATATATCCATTTTCCTTTATGAAGTCTGTCATGTTCAATGTTTCAAAATAGGTATGTATTTAACCAAGGTGTAAGAAGAAGAATCCTTCAAATTTCAACCTTGTATACTTCTCCCATTCTGTACTCTCAAACAAATTAGCCTTCCTTAAATTAGAAAGTTTGTAGAATTCCAGTGTCAATTTTTGTAATAAAAAACCCATCATATAATTTAGTCTTTGTTATATCAAGTCTGTCATGTTCAATGTGTCAAAATTGATATGTATTAAACAAGAAGTAAGAAGAACAAACCTCCAAATTTCAACTTTTTACACTTTTGTATTCTCATACATTATATTCTCAAATAAATGACCACCCTTACCCAGAGAGTCTGGAGAACTCAGTACTCAGTGTCAATTTTTGTCATAAAAAATTGATCATATAATTTAATAAATTTCTTATATCAAGTCTGTCATTCACAATATGGCAAAATTGGTATGTATTGAACCAAGATGTAAGAAGAATCCTTCCAATTTTCACTTTTTATACTTTTTCCAATTCCATTCTCTCAAATAAATAATCCTTCTTTCATCCAGATAGCCTATAGAACTAGGTGTAAACTTTTGTCATAAAAAAACTAATCCTATAATTTAGCCATTCTCTTTTATAGAGTCTGTCCTGTTCAATGTGTCAAACTGGTATGTATTGAACCCAAAAATAAAAAGAAGAAACCTTCAAATTTTAACTTTTTACACTTTTTCCCATATTATTTTCTCGAATAAATAATCCTTTAGGCTAGAAAGTTTGGAGAACGGTCAACTTTTACATTTGCATAAAATGTTGAGCCCAGTGTCATATTTTGTTTTACAAAACGTTTCCCTGGTAAGTTTTTGAAGTACAATGTATAAAAAATAGTATATATCGAACCTAAAAGAAGGATAAAAAATCCTTCAAATTTTAAATTATTCCTGTATTATTTTCTCAAATAAATTAGCCTTCCATAATCTACAAAATATGTTGAAACCCAGTGTCATATTTTTGTTATACAAAACTGACCATATAATGTCCTTACCCAGTTTGTCATGTTCAATATATCAAAAATGGTACGTATTGAACCTAAAAGTAGGATAAAAATCTTTAAAATGTTTATTTCTTACACTTTTTTCCGTATTATTTCCTTGAATAAATTAGCCTGTATAATCGAGTCTCAATTTTTATCATTAAAAAACTCATATAACACAGCCATTTCTCTATCAAGTTTGTCATGTTCAATATGCCAAAATTGCTACATATTGAACCAAAGAGTACCGCTTTGTCGAGGAAGACTGTAAAATCAGTGTCAACATCGATACAAGTCAGACCAGAGAAATAATGTACAATACTGTACTCTCGAATAATTAAACATTCTTTAGTATGGAAAATATGTAGAATTCTCTGTAGAGTGTCAACTTTCATTAGCAAAACGTTGACGTTTAATGTAGTGTTTTCCCTTTGCCAAAAAAGTTTACAGCTTAGTATTTTTTATTTTAAAAAATTGGTCATATAATGTCATTTAACTTTATGAAGTTTGTAGGGTTGAATAGGTTAAATTTGTACATACTGAACCCAGGACAATATGGAAGAATCCTTCTGTGATAGATATGAAGGTTATTTGTTATTATTTTGTCATATAAATAATGCAAATATATTGGTCGGCTTAGATAAACATATAAAAGGTCTTGTTTATTGTTTTTATTATCAGCTTTTTTACAGCTATTTTATTCTTCAACAAGTTTAAATGCCAAGAATAACAAAAGCTGTCCGTTTGACAGTTGTCTTCTATTACGTTATATTACAACATAGGATGTGCTATTGGTTAAGTTTTATCCATAAATACGTATTTATTAATTAATCGTCCCACCTGAAATCGAGGCTGAGATTCCTCTGGTGGTTGCTGAGACGTGTGTTGGGCCTAGCATGAACCGGAGGTACAGCGACTGCCAGTTTCGGCCGTTGTATTTCGCTCATCATAACATCAAGACCACATCGTGCGTTTTCCGTCTTGAGAGCGATTTCCCTGTTGGCGAACGGCGGGTTGGAGGAGACCGCTCCGCACTCGGTTCCGAAATTGGCGAAGGCGACCAGGCACTTTTTCACACTTCACGCCAATCAGAGACGGGACTCGAAAAGCGATTTTCCTTCGAAATCCGAGTCGAAAAGCATAAGTCAAGAGCGAGGATGTAATCTCCGCAGCACTGAGGTTATATCGAGCATATTAAGACACTTTAGATATTTCTAAACAGGACTGACGGTTTTCATTAAAAAGCAATTGAAATTATTCAAGCCCCGATTCGCACAACACATTGTTATTTTGACGTTCAGATTTTACTCACGGTTTTCGACCAGAATAGAAAGTGTTGTGTATATTTTTTTTATCTTCCGAAAAAAAACAAAGCTTATAAAATGTTTTCGACTTAATTAATTTGGCCAACCGCGTTTTACCTCCGGCCTTGATAAAAGTGACGGATGGAAATAACAGTTTGGTAATACACTAGACATGTCGTAGAAAACAGGGAGCACAGAATCACTTTCGTGTAGGCATCGGACCTATCAGAATTCGGAAACAGAAAAATATCAAAGCGGCCCCGAGTGAAAACTGGGTGGGGAGTTTGATGTGAACGTGAAGGAGAAACGGAATGCCGTCCTTAGTAATGAGGATTTTCCAAAAGCTGCGCTCGATGCGCATGAAGTGGGGAGCGCGCCAAATACAACTCACTGCTCACAGAATGACTCGATTAAAAAAACAAACCACTCCACTACCTTTGGTAGTTAGTTGATTATAGTATTCGAGCCCACTATGGCAAGGCTGGAGAACGAGCGGGAAAGAAGGTTACTAGCAATTTTTAGAGCTCTAACGACGTTCATTTGTGATCACTTTTTAATCTTTTCTTATAAGTTTATACATGAATAACTGTGCACCGTTCATTTTTTGTGAATCGTTTAATCAGTAAGTGTTTTTGTTGTATATTAAATATATAAAGTAATTTCTTTTTTAGACCCACTACAGCTTTTCAGATAACGTTGCTAGTAGGATCAACAACAATAGTTATAAGTTTACCAATTTGTTGGGAATCAGGGATCGATCACAGAGAAGTGATTATTGTAACTTATACGCCAAGCTTTCGACCTTTATAATAGTCTTCTTCAGGGCTATACAGACAATTACAATTCAGGCTTACGATCACAATTAAGCATACAATACATCAATTAATAGAATGCTTGGCGTAGAAGTTACAGTACTCACTTTTTTGTGGCAGTATCCCTGTTCCTCACTAAATTGTTGATATCTAGACAGTCGATTCATCTTACTTTTGTTATTTTTATAGTTTGATAGATAGAAGTAGAACTGGTTACTTGAAAAATATTTGGTTTTTGAAATTTTTCGTAATTGATAAACTTTAATAGCTTTTTTATATTCCTACGATATTTTGAAGAGTAGTTTGATCCAAATCAGTAACACACCAACCTTTCGTTCCCTTTTAAGACAAGCAGTCTCACAGGTTTTTTGAAGTCATTAACAATTATTTACAATCAAATAGTTATCATATTATGTATTACTTATTTAAATCGAAAACATGTTTGCTTCAATGTTGATCAGTGTTACTTTATCTTACTTACTGTTTAGATTTAAGAAAATATGAAAACACACGTTACAACAGTAGGTTTTCCTCATTTTGTTCTTGTCTGATGAATAGCAACTTAAAGCTTTAAAGAAAAGAGAGAGGTGTGCACATTAACAATGGATATATACCGATGTCTCTTGGTTCTTTTGTCTGAGTGGGCATGTTTCTGTTCTTCAGATATTGCTTTGCGTAACTCATAATGTAGTAGTGAAGAAAACAGTGAGTGGTATAAGCCTACGTAGATATAGATGTATTTATCGGCGTGTGTTCATACTGCACCCTTTAAAAGCTATCGTATCCCCCATTCTGTGCTTAAAGCACAACAGTAAGGCCTAGATCAACAAGGAACTTGTTTAGTAGGCCATTTTTCAGTGGTTGGATCTCTACGACGGTTACGTTGTATGTCCCAAAACACTTCCTACTGCGGGAAAGTGTAGCACCACAGTTTGTTAAAGATGTGTTGGTGTTTCCTCTGCTTTTTTACAGAATCTGCAGGTGCCGTGTTGAGTTATGCCAATCTTCTTCGGATGTCCGTTTAATTTGCATTGTCCTGTTAAGAATCTTGTTAGGATTCGCAGCTTTTTCGTTTCCTTTAATACCTGTTACCTCTTTCCTTCGAAAGTTTGTTAGGAGGTTCTTGGATTGTTTATGTACAATGGGTGAGTTCCATTGTATCCTTATTTTCTTTTTATCCTTCAGTCTGAGGTGCCCATTGATAGTGTGCATTCCAATACCACAGAAGGGTTCGGGTCCTATCAACGGTTTACCAGCCCCTCGTCTTGCAAGGACATCCGCTTTCTCGTTGCTTTCTACTTTAACATGTCCTGGGACCCAGCAGAGGATGACTTTGTTTTGCATACCTATTTTTTTTTAGTTTGGTTTTGCAATTCAGCACCATCTTTGAACTAATATGTTTGAGCTTAGTGCTTTGATGGCTGCTTGGCCATCTGGCATGACAGCTATGTTCTTGTTTTTGTACTTTTTATTCAAGGGGTCTTCATATCTCTCGATTGCGTAGACCTCAGCTTGGAAGATACTGGTGTATTTTCCCATGGGGTGCATTTGGTTCCAGGACCGAATACTCCTGCCCTCATACCTTATTGCGTTTCAGATCCATCTGTGTTCTTAAAGGAGGTGTTTTTCTCTCTTTCCAATTCCATTTTGGTACCTAAGTTTGGAAATTTTGGTTAAACTCAAACTCATTTCGCCTCTTTGTGCCATGAGCGATGATCTTTCATTAGGTTGTTGCTATCTCTCCATTTTAGTTTTATTCCTATTGGAGGTTTCTCATTGATAATACTTAATCCCAGTATCTTCTCCATACCAGCTGTGGGACATGTTCTCATTGCTCCCTTTATACGGATGCATGCAAGTCTCTGTCTTTTCGTGAGTTTTCTTCGTTTTGTATTTGTTCTACTTTATCGGCCCAGTCTGTGGCGCCATACGTGAGAATAGGTCTCACCATCATGGTGAACATCCAAAGCAGCATTTCCGGTCTGCATCCCCAGTTCATTCCTAATATTCTTCTGCACACCATTAAGTCGCTTTCTTGATAGTGGAGCCGATAATTAAATGCCAGTGTTTTGTCTAGTGTAACACCTAGGTATTTATAGGACAAAACATAATGCATCTTTATACTAATAAGCCTGCTCCCTCTTTTCTCAAAAATATTTGAGTAGATCCTTTTAAAATGATTGATCCCTACATTTAATTCTTTCATCCTTCTCCCATACCACCAATTTGGTTTTCGCGGTCAACATTCTACAACCCAGCAGGTGCTTCGTGTTGTAGACCACATATCCTCATCCTTAGTCACAAGTGTTTGACCGCGTGGGGCATGAGGGACTTCTGTACAAACTAAAGCGCATCCTTCCAAACATCTTATACCTAATCCTTCGCTCCTACCTCACAGGACGATTCTTCCAAGTACGCCAAGGGTCGGACTACTCCGATTACGTGCTGTGGGAGCGAGAGTGCCACAGGACATGAAGCTCGGACCACTCCTGTACACCTCAAACATCCCACCTACACATTTGTTGTTAAAGTAAGAAAAAGTTAGGGTAAACGATGGGGTTAGTAAATCTGAAGGGGCGATCACCCAGACGGGATCGACGTGACGTCCCCCTCAAATCTGGCAAACATAACTTTGAAATAATTACACCGTTGGACAGATAGATAAGAACTCGAAGGTGTCGCAGACCCACGTCATGTTTCCCACGGACCTTGAGAACATAAAGTTGCAATAGTTGGACAACAAAGCTGAAGGGTTGTCACACGGTCAAAAATATGTAGCGACGTGGGACATCGTAAATTAGGCTCGCGTCAACCATGTGCGCGACACCCGTCTTCGCCGTTTCACCCGTGGCGTGGGAACTCCCCCAACTTTTGATTTTCCTTTCCACTTTCCGGTAGAGAAACTGGTATAAAAAGGGATGACTGGGAAATCAAAAGTCAGTCAAAACCAGAGACTCACCACTGTCAGTCAAAACCAGAGACTCACCCCAGTCAGTCAAAACCAGAGACTCACCCCAGGCAGTCAAAACCAAAGACTCACCCCAGTCAGTCAAACCTGAAGACTCACCCTCAGGGAGTGAACAGTCAACTCCAAGAGATGATCCGGAACAGAAGCCACCGCACTCCGTCTGGGACTCAACAAGGGAACTCAGCCAGCCAGAGCCAGTGAGGACCAGCCGTTGCGCCCCATCGAACCAAGTCGACCGTCGAGAGAACAGACGGAGCTGGGGATGCTGTGGACTAATCGTGGCGAGCGTCGTTTGGGATAAGTCCCTTTGTTAATAGACTCATCCCAGATTTAGAGTTGTCGCTGACTCTTACATTGATTAAGGTTCTGTTGTTTGGGTACAGTTAAGAGACGGAATTGTGTTACAATAAATGTTAAGGAATATACTCTCTGGTTTATTGAATTCTAGAACCTTACCTTCCCCTACACAAGAATAAGTAGCGACGCGCTTACGCCGACTCCTCTCTTATAGCTTAGAGAAAAGCAAGCGAATATCGAGAGATTATTCGGCCGCCGCACAGTCGTCCGCTTACACCTTCTACCATCTTTGCATCTTTTGCAGACCATGCAACCGTGCTGTCCTATCCCGATCCTGCAATCGCCTCGGAGGAGCTCCAGGCACACGTCCAACGAATAGCTGAATGGAGCAAACTTTGAAGGATAAAATGTACAGGGCTTATGTTTGTACAGGCCCATTCTGAAAAAGAAGATTTTACAATTGACCTCTTTGTCCCAATTTTAGATTCTGTACGGTCTTGCAGACCCTCTTCTGGCCAGTTTGTTTGCTTTTTTCATTACCCTGGCGGCTGGCACCTATGATATTGTTAGTCTATTATGTTTTTTTAGATCCATTCTTCACAGAATAACCCTTATTCCTACTTATTTTTTCCGTCTAGTTATTAAGTACGACACAGAAAGGAACCCGAGTTTCTGCAATATTCAAGTTATTTCCTTTTATTTAGAGGTCAATGGTTCACCGACTTCTTTCGATTTGGGTTTGAAAACTGTGATTTTTGGTTTCATCCTATTGAAATACCAAACGAGTGTTCTATTCAATGAAAAAATTGGATTAGTTTGTTCATAAAGGAACGTCTGTTCATTCTTCTCTGAAATTCATGTAAAGGAATCATTTCCATTTTATCTAGGTTGGACCCCCACCCCCTCAACATCTCATAAGTTAATTCGTTCCAGCCAACGGGACAAATCTTTCTCAATGAAATGGTAACACTATTTGACACCAAAAGTATAGCATCTATTAGTTTTTCGTACGAAAAAATAATTTTCATTTTTAAATGTTATAAAATCTCTCTAACAAAAATGTTATTTTATAAAGGTTGTGGATTTATTTCCTTCTGCCAAAACTATTGAATGATTTTACTTTTTTTTTAAATTATGTAAATAACAAGACTAGTAGAAGTGATAGTTTAGCTTCAAAGCTTAAAAAAACCTCACTCTTCCTTTATAGTTCTTCTTAATCTGCATTCTTGAAGACTAAAAAATTATTCCGGATGAAAAAAATACTATATTGCCTTCTTTGAAATGAATAAAAATATCAGTTTATTCTTTTTAAAACAGATCTTGCACATAAGTCATATTCTTTATCTAAGGGTCAACAGGCCTCAAATGTCAACG